CACATTCATTGACGATAGTCCAAGGCTTTTAGTTTAAAAGCACCTCAAATTATTATCCACATAGTGTAGCTTCACACACATGCTTTGATAAAAAAAAAGCTACTTTTGAACAAAATCTTTGCAGCCCTTTTGAAAAAGGCTGGCTCTCCATAAACCAATGAAATGAGATGAACAATTAGCATATGAGCTCAGATAAAACTTTGAAAAATACGGCTTTCTTGAGAGTGCTTACGAAGCAAGCTTTGTTTAAAACTGCTGACTATTGGAACGTTCCGCTGTAACAATATGATGAACAATATGCAAAGGCTTTTTTAAAAAAATGCATGAAAAGGTCGCTCTACATTTCAGGGATGCGGTACATGCAAGTTATGCCTCGAAAAGCATAGGAATCGAAATATTTTTAATACCCAAACCTTCTCTGAGGCATTGCTGCATTAAGCGTACACACATAAATACGCAGGTATAGCATCCTAATGAACTTCAAATTTTAATAAATGTTCTTGTTAAGAAAATACAAAAGGAGGTAGACATGTTTAAACTAAGTAGTGAAAATGCGATTACCAGGTGATAAGTCGAAAGGAGCAAGTATTCACTGGGTTGGGTATATCTGATGGCTGACGTTTTGGATGTTTCAACTAGTTTCAGAAATTCTGTCAGTCAAAGGCGCTAAAATTGGGTGACAAAATAAATACTACCAGCGAGGTGCCGTAAGGCCATGCTCCAGATGTATCGGTATTATCTAACCACTTCAACCTGAGAGTGCGTTTTAGGATTTTGGCTTTAAAAAATTACGCACGTGGGTAGTTAGCAAACTGCGGCAAGTTACAGTCTGTCTACGGGAAATATAAGGCATGTCGCTGGGTAATGACTGGCCTCTAATCGATCACCTTCTTTAAACGTTTAGGCCCCCGATCGCGCACTTCCATTTTCTCGTAATAGGCTGGATCAGCACATCTCTTCCGTGGTTCTTGGCCCGGAGCAATTAGAAATGGGTACTGAGATAAAAAAATAGAGGCGTGATAATAGTACTTTATAAACAATGATTCACACCTTGCGCAGACCCACAGCCGGATTTCTTAGCAGTGAAGAACCACCCAAATGAGGTTTTAAGTTTCGTCATTTGTAAACGAAAACGCCAGTAAATGGCACCTTGGCTACAATAGTGAGCGCATTTAAAGGACTCTGATGGTTGCTCAAAAGACAATGACCTACCTGTATGACCTCATCCGAACTCCCAGACACAATAAGATCGCCGCCAAGAGCCAGAGCTGTAATGGGCGAAGGATGCGCGTCTGGATCAATAAAGAGTGGCTTTAGAAGGGATGGACCATCGGGGTTGATTTTAGTGTGCTCGTGGGTCATGGCGAAAACGGTGCCATCATAGGAGCCACACGCGACTATAAGATTAAGTGGCTCCGTCAGGTTTTTCATCTCTAAAAAGCATGAAAATGATAGTGCATTGTGAGAAAAGAGACGAGGAGTCTCCAAATTGAAAGCAGAGTCAAACTAGGGAAAAGCAGGGGCCTTTAACGATGGGGGGCAAAACTTCATCAGAATTACGAAGTAGAAAACAAAAAAAAAACTAGGAAGTAGAGTCGCAAGAGCACGCAAATTAAAACCTAGGATTGGGTTGAAAGAGTATAAAATTATCACACTTGAGTATGTACAGACCGAGCATTTTAAGACAGCCTAGGAAGACAGACCACTGATGGATCATAAAGGCTAACGGCAGAATTGTGAAGCTTAACAATGAGGAGTTCTTAGGAAAAATTGTTAAATGACAAGTTCTTTAAATTACTGGCTGAATAAAAAGGTAGTGCAGATCAACAACCCAGAAATCGAAACTTATGCGAGGCAAATATCTGCTAATTAGGCCGCGCACCTGATGACTCACACGATCCATAAAAACAACTTTGCCGGCAATGCTACTTGCAAAGACTAGAAAATAGAAAATATCAGACCCATTCCACGAACAGCAAAACCGTTTAAACAGAGATCATTCGTATTAAGTAAATGAAAAATAAAATTTAGAGGAAGGCGTTATAAAGGTCCCAAGTGAAAAGCGCATTGGTGAGATGAAAGCATCAATCGGTTGTAACCAGGAGCCTGTGTCTTGTGAGTCGCATTCGCAGAACCCGCATATAGTCCGCATGCATGCGCCTGTAATTCGTACGACTGACCATGTCTAATCACGCCAACAACGATGCTGTTAAAGAGTTTGTCAGGGATCGTACCCTCTACACACGATAATCGGGAGCAGTGTCCGGAAAGCCCGACCTACTCTCCTCTCTAATGACTCAAACCAAATACTGAACATCCAAGGGCTACTCCCATGTCCTAGCGAACTCGACTGAGACGGTTTTTGAGCAGATTTCTTCAACTCCCCAAAGTGGGTAGGGGCGTTGGATGAGAGACAATAACAACGAAATGATAGAACGGATGAGGAACCTATTCAAATTCCCTCAGTCATCCTCGGAAGATCCTAAACGCCCTAGCGATGTTGTCACAGTGAGATGGGGCTGTCTCACTCTTCGAAAGTAATGGTTAACACAGCAATCGCTCATCTTCCCAGTAAACTGCAGGCATTCACAATTATAAAGGAGAACTAACCGTACAGGCGAATGTCCATAGCGGTTGGGTATCGTTTGCTTAAGTTTGGAGAACTGCGTCCATATTACTCCTGCATCCTGCGCTTAGTAACATCTCGGTTCAATAACTTTCAACCACGAAGGATATCTTACTCTGGTTAGAAACTCGATCTGAAAGCACTGATCTTCTTAGAGTCAACAAATCGATGCAGCGACTTCATTCACCCACAACTCTACGTTCTGTAGGTTATCATAATTCGACGCTAGTAAGGTGAAATCGAAGACGTAGTCGTCAGTCGGTCGATGTCCGGAGGTAAATTTAACATCGTGAAGACCGCATAAATTTCTCGGAGAATATACTCGATGGGGTGATTAAGCAAACACGTGTGAAAGAATGCAATTTTAACGTAAGACCGCAAAAGAAAATGTTACGAAACTATTGTGGATGTTGAGTACATCGATGATTTCGCGGGCGTAAAATTTGGTTCAACCATGGCCGCGATAGAC